GATGGATTTAAGGAATCCAGAGTTTAGGATGGGAATGCGATTTGCAAACAAAATGGTATTGAAAGAAGCTGTGCAGGAGTATGCAATTATACATGGTAAGTTGATAAAATTCAAAAAAAATGATGGAAGGAGGTTCCAGGCTGTATGTTTGGGAGGACTGAAATGTCCATTTTATTTATATGCTTCAAAGCTTGATAAGAGTGAATCTACATTTGTAATCAAAACTATGAGCCTAGAACACACTTGTGGGAGGGTCGACAAGTTGAAGTATGCCTCATCCAAGTGGCTTTGCAACAGGTATTCTAAGAAGCTGAATAGAGACACACACTTGGATGTGAAATCATTACAAGAGGATGTTTTGGAGGATTATTGTATGAATGTCACAAAACATCAAATATACAGGGCCAAAAAGAGGGCCAAAGTAATGATTGAAGGGAGTTACATAGAACAATATGGTAGGTTAAGGGATTATGCAGAGGAATTGAAGAAGGCAAACAAGGGAAGTACAGTTGTAATTAAAACTGAACAAGTGGGGGGCAAAGCTATCTTTCTAAGGATGTATGTTTGCTTGGCTGGTTGTAAGCAAGGGTTTTTAGATGGATGCAGACCAGTTATTGGTGTTGATGGGTGCCACGTAAAAGGTCCTTATCCTGGCCAGATTTTGACAGCAGTTGGGGTGGATGGCAACAATGGCAGCTTCCCAATTGCTTATGCAGTTGTTGAGATCGAGAGCAAACAATCATGGATCTGGTTTCTTAGGCTGTTGATTGAAGATCTAAAGATTACAAATGGTTTGTCATATGTGTTCATTAGTGACAAGCAAAAGGGACTCATACCTGCAATTGAGACTCTACTTCCAACTGCAGAGCACATGATGTGTGTTAGACACTTATATAATAACTTTAGATCATTACACTCTGGTCTTGCTTTAAAACACATATTGTGGGCTGCAGCAAGAGCCACAACTATGCCTTGGTGGGAAGCAGAAATGGATAATATGAAACAAGAGGATGAGGAAGCGTGGAAATGGCTCAGTAAGAGACCTGCAAAGAATTGGAGCAGATCTCACTTTCAGACATGGTTTAAGTGTGATCTGTTGTTGAACAATCTGTGTGAAAGTTTCAATGCAGCAATTGTAGATGCAAGAGATCAGTCCATTTTGACTTGCTTGGAGAGGATGAGAGTCCTTGTGATGCTTAGGATGGCAAATAAAAGGGTTGCATGTCCGAAATGGAAACATCCAATTGGGCCAAGAATCTTCAAGATAATTGAGAAGAACAAGTTAGAAGCCTCCACATGCATTCCTCGACTGGCTGGCTTGCAAACATATCAAGTGACCCACATGTATGGTGGAGAATTTGTTGTGGATCTTAGGGCAAGGACATGTTCTTGTAGGAGGTGGGATTTATGTGGGATACCGTGTGGGCATGCAATTTATGCAATTTTTCAAAGGGATGAAAGCCCCATTGATTATGTGGATCAATGTTACAAGCCTGCATCTTATATGAAGTCATATGAACCAATGATTCATCCCATCCCTTCAATGGATCAGTGGGCTAAATATGGGCATCCTCCAATACATCCCCCAAGTGTTAGGGTACAGCCAGGAAGGCCAAAAAAAAGTAGGACCAAGGAACCTACAGAAATTCTGGTACCACCACCACCCCCACCACATCCAATGCCTCCAAATTATGTTCAACCACGAGCCAAGCTTAGAAGACTTTTTATTAAGATCAGATGTAGGAGATGTGGTGAAAGTGGCCATAATAGGGCAACTTGTGACAGACAGAACTCTGAAAATCAACAAGTAATTATTTATTCTGCAATTTTAGAGTTGTTACATGTTTTCGAACTAATAATTCCTTGTGCTCTTGCAGGCAAATGCATCTTCTGCCCAAAAAGAGTTTCAAACTAAGCCAAGCACATTAACAGCAGCTGCATCAGTAAGTGGGAGAGGAACAGTAACAGCAGCTGCATCAGTAAGTGGGAGAGGAACAGTTAGAGGGAGGGGCAGAGGACGAGGAAGAGAAAAAGCCAATGAAGGTCCAGCTCTTGCAACAGAAGTTGCTACTTCTTCACAACAAAGTGTACATTTTTTGGGGTATTTTTCTTCAAATATGTTGTCTCACAAATGTGTTCATTAGTTGCGAACTTATATTGGTCCTCTTTGTTTATGTGGCAAGAGGTTGGACAAGAAGTATGGTAAGAGATATGGGAAGAGGGTTGGCAAGAGGTTTGGCAAGAGGTTTGGCAAGAGGAAGGGCAAATATACCATTGTCACAGTCAGCTGCACCTACACAAGAAAGCTCAAATCCATCTTCAACTTGTGTCACTGCCAAACCTGGTTCCATATTCAAAATTCCAGCTATTAGAAGGGGCACATTCAAAAGGGCTGCTATTAGAGGAGGAACATTCAAAAGGCCTACACAAGTTCTATCACTACCATAATCATTCACAAGGCAGGGGGAATCATATATATTTTGTGTAATTTGGGATGTGGATTTTGTTCAGGCCCTGCATTTTGGTTATGTAAAGGCCCTGCATTTTGGCTTACAGTACAAACAATAGGATCACAGCTTTTGGGATGTTATTTTGTGGATTCACATCTTTTGGATTAGAGTTACATCTTGGCCTTTTGGTTTAGGTTCTGTAATTTGGGATGTAATTTTGTGGAATCACAGCTTGTGGATTAGAGTTAAACTCTGCATTTTGGTTTAGGTTCTATAATTTGGGATGTACAGCAGAAATGGAATCACATCTTGTGTATTAGAGTTAAACTCTGCATTTTGGAAATGGAATTGGTTTACGCTCTGCATTTTGGAAATGGAATTGGTTTACGCTGTGCAATTTGGTTATGGAATTGGTTTTTGGTTATGAAATTGGGTTTTGGTTATGGAATTGGATTTGGTTATGGAATTGGTTTTCGTTTATGGAATTGGTGTGGTTTTTGGTTATGGAATTGGTTTTGGGTCATGCCTAAAATACACCACATTACTTTTATGACTAACAAAAACCACATTACATTCACAGCTAACAAACACCACATTACATTCATAACTATAATCCCATTACAAACCTAAAAGACCATTACAGACCTAACATTCATAGTTAAATCTTCCTACTCATCACCACAATTACAAACAAACACCGTGAAAGGATCAAAGCAAACCCTAGTTTCAATTGTCTCTGTCTACTCCATTCCAATTCCTTTCTGCCTTCAATAAGAACACCCACTTTCTCTTCCAATTTTTTCTTCTCTTCTTCCACTAATCTCACTTGCTCATCCCTTGCTCTAATTTCTTCCTCCATACCTCTAAGTCTTCTAAGCAATCCAGGAAGCACTTCCTTTCCTCTTGGACATGTTTCATTATCCAGCCATTCAAAGAAATGATGTCTTGTTTGGCTATTCTGCACATCATTTGTTACACACGATCAGAGCCCCAGCACACCATTCAATTCTTCACTTAAACTTAACAAAATCCTTACTCTATCTTACCCGATTTTGGTCGCATGCCTCAAACCTTCTTCCCGGGTTCAGATCTGTCCATGACGTGCGCCGTTTAATCTTCATCCCACAAAAGCAATACCGAGTGGATCGAGTTGAATCTGTTGAACTTTCAGACATGGCAGCCGTCGTTGATTTTGTGTACTTTAGGTTTCAATTTGGGAAACCCATGAAGAAGGTGGATCCCAAAATGGTGCCTTTGTCGCTTAAAGGGCTGGTTATTCTACACGGTTTGGACGGTTTAACCTTAAATTTGACGGCAACATTGACAGAACGTAACGGCTGGATCAACGGAACGATTAATATGGAGTTAGTGGACCATTTGGACTAAAAAATTTATTCAGGCCCCAAAATGTAAATCGCGTATAAGTTTAGGGACCATTTGAGTAATTTACCCTTATTCTTTTAAATAATAATATTTTGGAGGGCTAAATTGTAGCAATTCATTTGGCCTATAGCCTATGACTGGAGATGACCTTATTGACAAACTAGACGATGACAGGTCAACTGAGGTCGAGAAACTACCTACTTTAAAAAGGCAAGATACATCAAAGTGAGATCTCAGCTACGCAAAGAGTTACAAAGAAACATAGTTCTATCTCAAGGAGTTCTACAGAAGCAGACTATAAAGCCTTGGCCAATACTTTCGCAGACCTTACTTGGGTGAGACAAGATTTTAAAATTTATCTGCCTCAGCCTCCTGTGATCCACTGTGATAATTTATCCACATTATAGCTCTTAGTTCAAATCATGTGTATCACTCAAGGATTAAAAACCTCGACATTGATTTCCACTTTGTGCGTGAAAAGGTTAAAAAGAAGGACTTAATTGTTCAGTATGTTCCTACTAAAGAGCTATTAGCAGATGTGTGTACCAAAGGTCTCCACAATCCTATTTTCTTGCAACATTGTGCTAATCTGCGACTTGGAACAAATGCTCAGTCAGAGGCCCCAAGTTAGGTTTCCGGGGGAATGATAACTATACTCAGTTAGTTACTGTGTCATGTGTTAGGCATGTGCTTAGATTAGTTATTGTGTTGTGTTCTTATTTGTTCCTCAATCTTCTTCATTCTTCTTCACTCTTCTGGTATTGTTAACAGGCATACCGTAAATTGATATTTACAATGTATGTCTTCCCTAATAACCATTTGTTCATGTCAATTTTGTTGGACAGTAAAATATATGAGGGCAATCTTCTCCATCTTGAGAATTGACCAAATCGAGTATAGCCGTTTTAAAAAGTTGAAAAAATGGAGTATAGCCGCCCGGCTGTACTATTCCCTATTTAAAAAAAATCTAAAAACCGAGTTTAGCCGCCGGCTATACTATTTATTTTAACAAAATTAGAAAATATTTAGATAGTATAGCCGCGCGGCGATACTATTTCTTTAAACAAACTAAAAAATATTTAAACATTATAGCCGCGCGGCTATACAGTTTAAATATTCGTATATGTGGAAGAGTCGTTCTCTCCCTCACCGCGATCGTCTGCGCCGTGATGGGTCCGCCGAGGCCTATACAACTCGTTTACTGCGACAATATTGGAAAGTTTCGAATGGATCAGGAAGCGTCTTAATGCTCCAGCTCGTTAAGGAACCTATCGGTATAGTCGCGGTCTGTGGCCGTGCTCGCCAGGGCAAGAGCTTCATTCGAAACGAGGTAAAATTATCGTCCTTTTTTCTCTCAATGATAGTGGAGACTTCTCTTTTTTCTTTTTTTTCCTTCCTTCGTGGTTTGTTTTCTGTCTGTGATGTCTAGGGTTTATGATTGTACAAATGGAAAAATCTGCTTTCTGGAACTATATTTGTTCGCCTTGAGGACTAAGGAAGTGCATCAAGTGTAGAAATTTTACTTTAGGTTATTTTGTTTTGGCTGCTAGAACTACCGTATTTTGTTTCTTATTTAATTCTCTACTTCTTGGACTTGTCATAATTAACCTAAACCATCTTTTTAAAAAATGTTCGAGTATAATCAATTTAAAGACTTGGAGATATGTATATGCCATGGGCACTGTTGTCGTGTTAGATGTGAATTTTCATTTACATGCTCTTGCAACCAAAACTGGGGTGTGAATCATTGATTAACTTTAAGATATTAAGATGGGGCCTAATACTTGAAGCATTTACCTTTTCTGACCATCTCTCTCTCTCTCTTTCTCTGTCCTGCTTGCACTCTATGAACTTCTGACCAGTAAGTTTACTCTACTATTGCATCCCCACCAGTTGAATGTTGCTGTGAGAAATAAAACTGTATATGTTTGTATTTCTCTATTGTAGCTTCTTGGATATTTTTGCCAACTACAATAATTATTGTTACCCTATTACTCTTATGATAATGGTTCCTCTGTTGTGGTTATTTTGTTTTTTATTGCCGTATGAATACAGTGTATTGAGTAGAATATGTTCCATTTGTGGTAATTTACACTGCCTTGGTTTCAGGACGTGTATCTGGATTTACCTGAGGATAGTGGAAGGACAATGCCCCGTGACTATCTGGAGCTTGCTTTGAAGCCAGTTGATGACAGAAAAAGGATGTAGTTGCAAAAAATGAGGTATTTGTCTGGCTCTTCTTAGTTTGTTTGAGAAGATTGCTGCATTTTTTTAGTAGAGAGAGAGAGAGAGAGCAATCTTGACCTTTTATTTTCAAGAATTTGCTTGCCAATTCATACATGTATTTTTAAACTGGCATTATCTGCTTTTAGGTTACGCTTGTTAGCTATTTATGACATTCTAGGCACATTGAGCACTGCTACTCTTGAATTATGTTATCTATGTATGTTGGACTTGGAGGCGCTAATTGTACAGTATGAATGGCCAATATAGATACGAGCCTCCATTCGAGCTCTATTTTCAGATAGAGAATGCTTCACCCTTGTACGGCCGTTGAACAACGAACATGATCTACAGAGAATTAACGAAATTCAGGTCAGTGACTTACTGTTGTCTTTGATCTCTCTCATGTTGGTCATGAACTCAAATCTGTTACTCTCTTTATTCATATTTGTTTGTGTTGAACTTGAAGGCTAAGTTTTTCTAATGCAGTTGGACAAATTAAGGTCTGAATTCAGATCCGGGCTAGACGCATTGACAAGGTTTGTTTTTGAAAGAACAAGGCCGAAGCAAGTTGGGGCGACTATGATGACGAGTCCAGTTGTCTTATCTTGGTGCCTACCGTATCCTCTTCATGGCAGGTTTGTGTACTCCTTGAACTCTCTTATTGGGTGGTATTTTGCAACAGGCTCTAAATTATTATTTTTTATCCATGATAAGATTTTACTTGTGTATAATAGTTTAACAGAATCTTAGTTTCTAACCGGAAAAAAGTGGAAGTAGTGAATATGTAATAAACGATTGACCAACCAACTGGAATTAGAAGTGCTATAAATTTTGGTCTTGGTTAGCTTCTTTGTGCTGTTTCATTGAGGTTACATAAATAATATATGTTCCCCTGTGTCTTATCTGGAGAGAGTAGATGTTGAAGTGGATGTTCTGTTTTCATTTTAAACTACAACAATGGAGAATACAATAATAAAATAGCCCTTTTGGATCTCAGACTTCATATGGAATAGAGGGTGAATAAGAAACTGACTCTGGAACAACTCTGATTACAAATTTCTTAGGCACCATGTGATTGTGTTAATCTTACTCTGCAGAGTGTCGAAGAAGATGGGTGCCGAACAGCATATGATTATGCTCTTGAGGTGTATAAGTCCGCTTTTCACCGTCCGAAAAATCACGAAGAAAAAGATAAGAATCTTGTTCTTGCCTCATATATAATTGAATTCTTTGTGATAACAAATAGTTTGTTGCAGTATATATGGATGTGTATATCTTATTAGCGCATCTCTTGTATACTGGTCTTATTCGTTTAAATTGGCTACTCATGCAGGATTGTAAAAGGAATGCATATATGGAGGCAGAGTTGCAATGTTCAAATGCTATACAAAGCATGGAAAGGAAGCTGAGAATAGCTTGCCATGTTTTTAAGGTAAACAACAGTGGCTTGCCCCCGATGTCTTTAACATATATATATATATATAAATTTGGCATGGGAAACTGCTCTTACATGTTTGATGGAGCAGCTTTGGAGGGATTAAATTTATCTATATCTGGATTCTCCTTTTTTATCTTGAGGTTTTCCATGGTCTGTGTTTTCCACTTGTTTATAATTTGATTATCTACAAGCTTTTTAATTTGGTAAAGATAACACATACCATCTGGCTGCTATTTTTTTAGGTGCTTACATCAGATTTAAACTTGAGACCTTTCCCTTTTACCTACCTGTCCCAATCCCAGTTGAGCTAAAGATCAAGGGCATTATGTAAAAAATCAGTTATCGGAAATAGAACCCTATGGAAATCATTGAAAATGTGTAGGGATGAAGAAGAATCTTTATTTTGCAAACGTTTGCTTTTCTTTTCAATATATGTATCTATCGATGATGCGGTACTTGACTATTACACATTCTTTGCAGACTGCCAAATCGAAAGTAGATAGTTATGATGCTGAAATATCATCGATGAAGCTTGAAATCAAGGACTTAAGTAAAAAACTAGAAGCTGCAAATGCACAGGCCCACTCACTTGAGAGAGAAAAAAAAAGACTTGATCAAAGTCCAAGAAAGGTGTAAAATCGCCGAAAAACAAGTCACAAGGGCGACTGATATTGCCAATATAAAGCACGAGCTCAAGCGGATGTTGCTCAAAAGGAAGCGTACAGAACATAGATGTATTATTGAAAAATAAATATGTATGTGTATAATAGAGTATTAAGAGAGCCTACTTACCTAGTAGGAAGGGAAGTATTTTCCAAAAACAAATGTCAGCTCCAAGCTAAATACAAATTTTAAATAAATAAATAAATTTTTCTTGGCAAATTTCCATGGGCCGAGCTGGTTTGGGCCTACCCTAAAAAAGGTTTTCCAATAGCAACCCAAATCCATCTTAACGATGTCCCTCTATTGGTCTATACATCAAACAAAACTTTTTAATGTGAGACTTTTTATCTTTGCATTCTCACACGCCCTCACACGTGTGGCAAATTTTCAAGCCTAACACGTTGATAACACATTTTGTGTGATATGGAGAACGTGTGGCCGTTGGACTTTCAGACGTGGACAACCTTCTCTGATACCATGAAGGAAGTTGAGGTTCCATCCCAAAATCATTGACAATGAGGGGAGTAGCCCAACTCCTTATAAGCCATTGCAAGATTTTCTAACTTTCCAATGTGAGAATTTTTACCGCCTTTGTGCTTACCTTATTTCCTTTCACAAATCTGTCGGGCTTTGCCACTCTTCTACATGCAACATGCATGTATATTTGAGGTTAGATATATGTATCTCCCGCTATTTTACATATTTACTGCTTTTGTTTTCCTGCATCTGTTTAAAGCTGTAACATATCAAAATTTGAAGACTACAGTCCCACCGCTATTTTACATATTTACTTTTGTTTTTCTGCATCTGTTAAAGCTGTAACATGTGCATGTGTTGTGCGTCATCATGTGAATGAGAATTTTAAGCCCAAAAAATTGTATGGGACTGTTGTACCACTTCATCATCATCATAGTCGTCGTCGTAAGGGAAAATTTTAGTTTCTCAAACACAAATCCTTTTTTTACATTGGATGGATCGTAGGACTTTTGGAACATCTCAAAACTACATGATCTATCTGTATATATGTATGTGTTATTTGATTTGATGGATGCTTGGTTGGTTCTTGTGGTGAGGGCGACATTTATAGACCACGTTATATCAAATGTTTTGTGTCTTCTCCCTACCTGCTGCATCTATCCGATACACATCGATTTAGAGAGTTCATTCATTCATGTTTTTAATGGCTTCAGATAATTATGTATATATATATATATATAAATAGAAAATAGGTGTTAAGCTGTGCACAAGAACATGCAATCAAGAAACTCATTACTAAATTTATTAAAACAGTTGCATTAACAATAATAACAATAATAATCAAAGTCCAATTACAGTGTTTTGCCGGGTGTAGGTCAACTAGATCTTGCCATATGAAGCTGTAGAACTTGGACCAAGCCAGGGATTTTTGCCGGCTCTCTGTGCCTCTGGGTTTGAACAAAAGAAAGAAATGAACAAACAAACAAACAAATACATACATACCTTTAACTGGTTCACATGAAATGAAAGAGGATCTCTAGGCTCTCTTCTATAACTTCTATGTTCAATCAATCAGGCATGTGGGGTGGCTTCCACCCTACTTTCTTACTCTTCTTCTACCCTCCATGTGAACTTTTCAGAACGCACCCACTGGGTGGAGTGGGCTTTCTACTTTTAACTTTTGCTTTTGGAAGAAGCAGATTCAGACTTTCAGAACTACCAAACATGCAATGTCTCCTCCGCCACTCTGCAGTTAATTATACATGGTCCCCCATCACACTTGTTGGATATATCATTACATTCACCCTCTCCTCTCTTATTATTCCCTAATTGGTTTTTCTTAATTAAAAAGCGATATTAAGAGAGCGAGAAATCAATTGTGAACAGTTCAATAACAAAGGAGGGAGAAATTGAACCTAACATTTCAAGCGCACGAGTAAGTGCATTGTCAAAATAATAAGAGAAAGGAGAAATCAAACATAACATTTCTAATGCACGAGAAAATTTTATGGAGATTCACTATTATACCCAATATAGTAGCCCAAATTATTTTTAAAAACCCTATATGAAATGGACTTTAGAAACACACCCAAAGTCGATTTACAACATAACAAAAAGGCTTTTAACTTCTTTTAAGTTGCAAAACTGCCATTGATTTCTTAAAACAAACTCAACCCCAAAATCTCACAAAAAAAACCCAAAACACTCAATAGGGCATCAAAGTAATTTAATAATCAAAATTAAATTCAATAGGGCCATCTGTTATTTTTTGGGTTTGTTTATAGAAATTAAATGGTGTAGGATTTATCTATATTATTAATGCTAAGAATGAGTATACGAGTAAATATCTCAAAATATCAATCAGTTTTAATCGTGCTAGGTGTGAGCAGGTGAAGCTTTTCTGACTTTGAGACACAGAAGCTAATGTGCTTGCTTGCTATTAATGGGCTGGCAAGAAATCAGCACGCTCCCATACTCCTGCATTGTGCGCATTGTATATTTATTATGAATGTGAACTCAGAATCCCCAACCTGCTCTTATACTTAGAATATCAGAGATAAGCTGTTACATTGCAGGAGCTTGTACTCATTTAGATTCATAAAAGCTCAGAATGCATATACTAGTGGTAGCCATCCCCCATGTTGCTCCTTGTTTATTCATTACATGTGAATCCCATTCAAACATACAGTTATAATTGTTTCTTAATTATACGAGTAATATTGGGAATAAGGCGTCAGATGCATAAATAAATACTATTAATCACTTTTTACAAGCCCCTTACACAATTATAATTATTTTAATTATTCACCAATATATATATATAAATCTCGATAAGATTGAATTTACCTACATTTACAATAACTTAATTCACTTGCATATTCAGTCAAAAGTGGGCTATGGGGGTAAGTTAAACTAACCAGATACCAATTACCATCAGTCATCAGTCATCACCAACTCTTGTACTCAAGTAGTTTTCTCCCTCCAAATCTCATTTTTTAAGCCAAGCCAAGATAAATTTTAAGTTCCCCAAATATAGGCCAGAGTTGTAGACAACTACAATTTACATAACAAGGAAAAGACTAGAATCCGGTCCACAGAAAAATCTATGGAATTAGGCAAAAGTTACCCATCTACTAAACAGGACCTCTCATCTATAATTAGGCTTTAAATCCCAATTACCCCATCTACTAATTAGAACCTCTCATCCCCCCATACTCTCTTAAACCCCCATTAAGGCAATAACAAAACAAACACACCACCTCTCTCAACTACCTTAACCAACCGCCTAACCCCCCCAACCCTACCCCATCGATTCAATTTTACCTATCTATCCATCCCATTCCCATCCATCAAATCCCCTCTCTCTCTCTCTCTCTCTCTCTCTCTGGAAAGCTCCCCAAAGCTTTGTAGAGCTTTCAAATTTCAATCACGAAGGCCTTCGCTTTAAGCAAGCAAAACCCTGAAAACAAAATAAATCCCCCAAAAAATAAAATTAAAAAACAGAGAGAAACCCAGTTCATATCCCTCCCTCTTTCTTCAACCCAAGTCATAAAGTTTCAATTTTCTCTCACCTCTTCATCTGGGTCTTCCTACAATCCAACTTCTTCTGATCCCAACCCTCAAATGTGGCGGCCGTGGGGCAAATCAACGGTTCAGATTCACAACACGTCATCTCCATCCTCACCCTTCTCCTTCTCCTCCTTCAAAGACATCCAGAATCTCTGCGCCGACGACAACGAACACTCTCAACAACCCACAAACGCCGCCGCCAGAAGAACCTCTGCTATTTTTCACCGCGTCCGAGTCGCCAACTCACTCCTCCGCGCCTGGTCAACTCGCCCACCCACCCAACCCCAAGATGAAAATTCCCCAAAACAATCGGAGCCGTCCATCAGCTCCATCCCGGGCGCGGAGAAGCGCATTGTCGTTTACTTCACGAGCCTGCGCGTGGTGAGGCCGACGTTCGAGGACTGCAGGACCGTCCGATCAATTCTCCGAGGGTTTCGTGTCTCGTTGGACGAACGAGATCTGGCGATGGACCACGGGTTCTTAACCGAGCTGCAGCAGATTCTGGGTCAACACACTAAGTTGACTTTGCCGCGGGTTTTCATTGGTGGGAGATACATAGGTGGGGCCGACGAGGTGAGAACGCTGCACGAGGCCGGCGAGCTCAAGAAGTTCGTGGAAGGCTTGCCCGCACAGGAACCGGGCGTCTGTGACACGTGCGGAGGGTACAGGTTTATTCTGTGTGTCGAGTGTAGTGGCAGCCACAAGTTGTACACTGAGAAGAATGGCTTCAAGAGTTGTACCTCGTGCAATGAGAACGGCCTCATCAGGTGCCCTTCTTGTTCATGCGCACCACTCTAATTTTCCCTCTAATTTAGAAATAACCAAAAAAAAAAAAAAAAAAAAAATGCCCATTTTCCTTTTTTATTTTGATTTGGACATTTTTGAGTGGCAGTAGTTTTGTAGTTTTTTTGTTATTAAAAAAATGTTGGTGGGTGTGTAAGAATGTGTAGGCCCAGCACATATGGGGTGTGCTATGTTAATGTCACCCAATGGATTATATGGCTTATAAAGATTAATGTCAGCTAACTTTGTTTATGATTTTTAAACTTAGTTTAAGTACATTTTACTTTCCATCTTTTGAGTTTTATCTTTATTTATTTATTTATTTATTTATTCTTTTCCAGTCAAGTTTAAGGTGCATGATTACTTAGACAAGAAAAAAGGTGCATGATTATTATGAACTTTTGGTGCCAACAAGTTTTTATTTGTGAAAATGAAATTTTTTGGAGGAGGGGATTCGAACTCGGATGCGAAGCGGAGGGTATATTCGCTTTAGCCAACTTGACTAAAAACATGTGAATAGAACAGACAACACAAACAGGGGTGGGGGGGTGGGTTTGGTTGTATAAGCTCAAACATTGCGATTTTTCTGTGGTACGAATTTGCAGGGTTTGGTTGTATAAGCTCAAACATTGCGATTTTTCTGTGGTACGAATTTGCAGTGAATACAAATTGGTGACAAATGAACAATCAAATCGTATAGGACATGATGGCTCTTTAAATAGTGAGTTGAAATCAATCAGTGTGGTATTTTCAAGTGTTCGTATTGAGTACGAATTTGTACGGCAATCGTAACCAAACTCTTGATGGAAAGGCAAAAAACTTAATTGGTTGGGTGCACAAACGGAGGTTGAAACTTTACCTTGAGTCAATCAATAGGTAGCTAATCTTATAGTTTTAAATGAAATAGTCGATGCTACAACAACAATTAGGAAATGGACCAAAGATGTATATTAAGCTAACATTTTATTTTTGAGATATTTAGTCAAATACTCATTCTTAGCACTAAAATTATAAATAAACCCTACACAATTTAATTTCTATAAACAAACCCAAAAAAGACCCAAAAAATGACAATTTGCCCTATTGAATTTAATTTTGATTATTAAATTACTTTGATGTCCTATTGAGTATTTTGGGCTTGTTTATATGTTTTGGGGTTGGGTTTGTTTTGAGAAATCAATGACAGTTTTGTAATTTAAAAGAAGTTAAAAGCCTTTTTGTTATGTTATAAATGAGTTTTTGGTGTGTTTCTAAAGTTCATTTCATATAGGGTATTTTTATAATTTGGGCTCCTATATTGGGTATATTAGTGAATCTCCCTTTATTTTTCGTGTGCAATCTCATATAAGTTGAGAATGAAGATATTGAAGGTTTCAAATATCCGAGAGGTCTTGTGTGCAAAACTCTGAAGTGCTTGTCAACAAATAAAAGTTAGATTGAGATTAAGCTTAAAGCGTTGAGAAAAATAGAAATCCAAGTTTGCTCCCTTGGCATACGAGTAACAAATAAACTTGTAACATTTTTTATGATTAACGGGAAGAGAATATGAACGCTGGACTTCTAAGATTCTTCTAATTTATCATTAGGAAGGGGGAATTCAAACTTGGAACCTCTTTTAACATCGTGAAGAGAAATATCACTAGACAAAGAGCTAGTTGATTAGGCTTATGCTAAGATTGAGAGACTTAAAATTTGTAACGGAAAAGCTTAAAACTTACAAGCCTGTTTTTTGGTTACTAACCATACTAGGCTTAAATCTTTGTGTTTAATATCAAAAATTTGATCTATAAATAAACTGAAGTGATTACATGATGCATCCATGTTTCCCTCCTATTTCGAGAGATTTTTCCAATCAAATATTTTTATTTTTATTACAAATATTGGACCATTTTACCATATGCGTAATAAACCTATTAGAATAATAAGCCAACCAACTAAATATTGTGTCAAGAAGAAAAAGAACAAAAAAAAATTGTGAAGAAGAGATGCGTATAGTTCTAAATCTTGGCTCATGAACAAGGTCCCATTTGGAAATCCATTATAAGCCAAAACATAAGGCCCGAAGATGCGAAGCCCAAGGCCCATTTAATCCATCCCCATACTATTTTCTCTTAAAAATTAATGGGCATTTATTCGTCGCTCACGATTGTTTCATTTCATCTAATGACACTCAATCTCCATTTTGAACTTACCATCATACCAAAGCTCAAGCTCAGCTTATTTTTCCTTTCAATCCAACTCGAAGAAGCTTGAAACAAATTCTACGAAATCGAACTGTACATATGAATTTACAAAATACATCCCTTAGGTTGAAGGTATCATGAGCTAGGGCAGGCTGACCAAAGCACATGTGACATGGTTGCCATTTCACAAAAGAAAGGTGAACTTTGCGAAACTGGCAAGAGAATTTAGGTCCACCTCACATGCATGTGATATGGTGGTGGTACCTACGCCTCTTCAATCATGGGGGCTAAGGGCTTTACTTTTGACAAGGATGGGCTGCCATTATTTTCAAAACGAAGCTGTACACCGGACCGGATTACATTTGTTCTTTGTTTTTTTAATGCTTATAAATTATTCCAGTATTATTATTTTGTAATGCAGTTCTTTAAGTAATTAAAACCTGTTTCTTAGTATCGAACCAGATTTGAGTGAGAAATATGTCATTATAAACTTGTTTTTCTCAAACATAAATCTAAACTTTGGTATAAGGGACCAAAGTAACGTGTCTGCATCCTTACACCCAAGTTCAAGTTACCATTCCCGTACTGATTGCTTGTATCAAAACTTCAAGTGATCTGCTTTGTTAGGTCCATATCAAAACTTTAAGTTGCCTTAGATAATATTATGATCACAAACCCAACTAGCTTCTCAAAAGCACTTCTGAGAGACTCAAAAGTCATAAATTGCTGATCCAATGTCACTTGAAATATTGGTTGTGCAACACTTTCTATTAAAAACAGGAGGTTGTGTTGTCTATTTTCTGAAGCAATCAGGAGACCAAAAAAGCCCCACTTCAGGTAATGGGTCTAACTCCACTCAATCAAACACAAACCCTAGAAAAATTCTACACCAAGTTAATGTGGTCCAGTCCCTAAGGCCTCTAATAACAACGTATTAGCTTACAAAAGCCATAGTAAAAATCCACACACATAAAAATAAAAAAAAAATAAAAAAATATCTGGCACATCTATATATCATACATACACACTCCAAATGGCTTGTCCTCTATTAACCCAAGTTAGAATTTGCAATTTTCACAACAAAAATGCCTTTAAAAAATGAAATTAATTTGCATGGGGCTTGTAACTCAAGTAGTTAAGAGGATTTATCGCTTCACCCGATCTCCTAAGTTCGATTCCTCCTTCCCCATCATATCGCTTGTATCCAAAATATAAAAACATGAAATTAATTTGCAAGTTTTATGAGCTTCTTTGGAACTGAGCCCACTAAGGTCATTGTAACTTGCAAAACATGTTGCTGGATGAGGAAGACTCTAACTCACTTCCCCACCTGAATACTTGAAAACTACTGCAGAGGGGGCACTCTGAGCCACTCATACTTCAAAACAGTTTTTGTTCATGTTTCATCTTCAATGAAAAATAAATAAATAAAATGTAGGTCCACACGTGAAGCACATCCAAGTGGAGGGGCAAGAATATATGTTGATGATTGAAAGACCCAAGTCTTTACCTAAGTTGACCCTCTCCAAAGACCCAAGTCTTTACCTAAGTTGACCCTCTCCAAAGACCCAAGTCTTTACCTAAGTTGACCCTCTCCAAAGACCCAAGTCTTTACCTAAGTTGACCCTCTCCAAAGACCCAAGTCTTTACCTAAGTTGACCCTCTCCCAAAAAGAGCATCAACATAGTGTACAGCCAAAATAATACAACCATTATGAGCTACGAATTGTTAAATGGTTTGCCTTGTGCAGGCCGGAACTAAACCAACACTCATTTCAAGTTATATACGTGTCATGTGGGATGTGGACCAGTTCGCAAGTTACACAGCAGATTCACCCCAAAACCCTAAAATAAAAAACAACAACAAGAAGCAGAAGAGAAGTTTTCATCTTCTGATGACGAATTGCATGATACCATATGGTCCTTTATGATTAAGTCTGAGTCAATGGAAGTGGCTCTAACTTTTATACCAGAAAATAAAGAAAAATACAGTGGCTGAATCTGAAACTATGCAGAATGAATAGGATTACAGAAAAATAATGGGGAAATACATTTAGGCAAAAATGGAGATGAGAGTGTTGATCAAGGCATTCAAGTAAGTATGAAAATGGATGATTTCCATTGATTGATTTGTTGTGTAATTTATACACACAATTCATGGCAATTTGTGTGATTAAATTTAAATCTATCTCAAATACTTATACAAAGAGAGTTGGTCTGGTTTTGGGGATGTACATATTAAATTGATCTTATATTCTAAGAGAGTAGAATTAGGGTTTATCTTTACGAGAGACGTGATCACTAAACATGGTATATATATTTTTTTCTTCCCAAAAATCATAATTTAGTTCAAATAAAGTCAAATTACGTACAATGAGAATGTAAGCTCACACCAAGTCAAATCATACACAATGAGAACATGTGACACATATAATTGTTTCATCACCAACTCAATTCTTTTCTAAAAAATTCAGTAAGTATCGTTTATAAGATAGAATTGGTCTTAGTTTTGGGGATATACATGTTAAATTGGTCTAATATTCTAAGAGTGTAGAACGTAGGGTTTATCATTTTCCTCTTTGCGACGTCAAATTACGTACAATGAGAATGTAGCTCAAACCAAGTCAAATCATATACAATGAGACATATAACTGTATGATCACCAACTCAATTCTATATTTTTAAAATTCAATAAGTATATATCGTTTATAACATTCAAACTTAAAATCTCTTTCACCAAAATAAAAAACGGGTGGTATTAGACTAAATCATCATTGAATGATTATCAAACTCATTAATTTGAGCATTATCATAATTAAGAAAAAGGGCTCTTTGATTATATCAAACTGGCGGTCATGATGTTGCTGAGAAAATGCAAATTGAGAAGCAGTGTAGCATATACCAGCAAGTGGCGACCCCAGGAAAATAGAAAGAAAGGGCAAAGTCACCAAAAAAAGCACGTGACCGGCACGTGGGGTCTGATGGGACGGCGCTATAAATATATTTGGAGCCAGGTCGCTGGCTACCCGCTACAAGACAAGAAGCAAATCCAACGTTGCTGAATTGCAGCGGACCGAAACA